CCCACCCACTCACTCACCTACTCACACACTTAATCACCCATTGACCCACACATTCACCCAGCCACTCACCACACTGCAGGTCACAACACTTCTCTTTCTGCTCTTTCCCTTGCACTGTTGCAGCCTCTCTGCACATCCCTGATCCCATTATCATCACCGTAAGAAGCTCTTACAGCAATAGCCCTCGCTCGATATGAAAGACGCGTTCCACCCCGATCCGTAACACCTTCAACGGCGCTGATTGTTGCTGGCCGCTCAGCACTTCGGGGCCATTATTTATTTATTTCCAACCGCGGCAGCGGACATCCCAACAAGAAGTGAGAGCGAGAAGCGGGGGCTTCTGCCGCTGCCCATTAATAGTTCACCTGCAGCGAGCGGATCTCTAGCTCCCCCTCGGTCATCACCCCCGTGCCCGGCCGTGAGGAATGCGTTGGCCACGTGACCTCTCACTCGGCAGAGCCCCCCCCCCCCACCTTCTTCCAGGGCAGTGACCCCCCCACCAACCTCCTCGCCCCACCCCCGTTACCAGGGCAGTGACCCCCCCCCCCACCTTTCTCCTTCCCTAGGTCGACTCAGCCTGAAATGAGTCCTAGACCTCGTGCGATGGCAAAGTGCTGGTCACCCCCCCCCCCCGTGTGTGCTGTTGCTGCGCTAACAGCACTTGCCCCAAAAATCTGTTAAGGCTACACGGGGGACCCTTGCCTTTGTGGTGCGGTGTGTCTACTCAGCCTCAAATGAGTACCTGGTGCAATGTGTAAACATCAGCACTGGGGAGACAAAGGCGGCCGGGCATGTGTGTATGTATTACTGTGTATGTGTTGCCTCCGAAACGTCGTGAATTTTATTTAATTTTTATTTTACTTTTATTAATTTAAATTTTAAATTTTTTTTACCTACGTGACTTTACCCAAAAAACCTAAGAATATGAATCCTTGCAGTCACGAAAGCTTCAAATCTAGAATGAAAATGTATAACTTATTTCGCATTGTACGTCGCCAATCGGGCTAATCGTGGGTGCGTAGTGCTGGCCACCCATCTTCATCGCGCGCCCTGTCGGCCTTCATAGGTGCTGGGTAAACAGCACTTGTCGCACAAGTCCACAGATTTAAAGGTTTCGTGACTGCAGGGATTCATCTTCTTGGTTCTTTCGGTAAAGTCACGTAGAAGGGAAATAATAAAATAATAAAAATAAAACATAATAAAATAATTCTCACGACGTTTCGGCCACAACGCAAGCAGCCGTCCTCAGGTGAAGACGCTGTCTCCCCGACAGACCTGTTCTTCACCTGAGGACGGCTGCTTGCGTTGTGGCCGAAACGTCGTGAGAATTATTTTATTTTGTTTTATTTTTATTTTATTATTATTTCCCTTCTACGTGACTTTACCGAAAGAACCAAGAAGAACAAGTCCACCGATGCCAACATCTTCGTGTCTGGCCGCTGCTATTGGTGGGAGCGCTGCGAGCAGCCTCCTCCTCTTCCCTCTGCACCTGCGGAACGGCGACCCGCAACTTGGGGTCGGGTTTCTTGGCACCGCATCGCTTCTCGCTCACTCACAATGAGGCCACTCAAGGCTGCCCCCCCCCTTCCTTTCTGCTCACCGTGCCCCCCACCTAGGAAGTGTTTAAAGCTCAGCAGCAGCAGCCGCCGCAGCCATGGCCAATCCACTGTTGGATGATGGCATCCCCATAGTTGCGATGCTATTTTGGCAATATCTCAAATATGTAATAATAACATTAGATGGGACCTTTTTGCCAGTACCAAAGTATGAAGAATCAGAATAGGCTTTACCCTTTCTGGCAATACAACAGGTGCGCTAAGATGCCCAAACACCAAATCGATACCTTTTGCAAATAGATATTCTTATTTTTTAGTAATATAATATACTGCATAGACACGTGTCAATACCCGGATAGCTTTAAACGACTGTTGGGGCAAGTGCTCTTAGCTGGCACCAAGGCTGGAAGGGTACACGATGGGTTGGGCCGCCTTTGTTAAGCATTGCCACAGTGACAATGTATACAAACCTCACCAGGTACTTGACATTTCAAAGACGTTTCCAGCAATGGCCGGTGGGTCCTGATTACAGGTATCCCACTCGCTGTGTGCGGTAGTAGATGCGTTCCAAAAATAAAGGAATACAAAGCAAAACCGCACGAGGATACGGATACAGTACATAGACAGATCATACACAGTACACACACAGTATGCACAGTACACACAGCACACAGTACACGCAGTACATACACAATACACACACACTACACACACTACACGCAGTACATACACAGTACACACAGTACACACACACTACACACAGTACACGCAGTACACACACAGTACACACACAGTACACACACACAGTACACACAGTACTTACAGAGTACACACACAGTACACACACAATACTTACAGAGTACACACACAGTACACACACAGTACGCACGCAATGTCCCACGTCCGACCGCATAGCCGCATCTGAGTGAATTCAAACCGCAAGTGATGTTGGGTAGAAATGGGTTATCCGCATAGCCGCGAAACGAATAGAGCGAGGGAAACCCGCAGCTTGCATATCAGACCCCGTGGTGTAAAGTGAAGTATCCAACTCTTGGAACACCGTCGCTCTGACCTCCATAATTGGTTGCTTTGACGAAGGCCCCTTGCCCGAAACGTCACCTGTTTTAGCGGGCCACGACCGGCAGGGATCGAGGCGGAGAGTTGTACCGTGGGAAACACGAGGGGGTGCAGTTCGTGGCGTGTTTCCCGAAAGTCACGGGACGTGGTCAGGAGACTCGCGCGCATCATCAAAGAGAGAAAGTTGAGATGTTGGCAGCACTGGTGGTGGTGGTGATGAGTTTGTGTGATGTTTCATGATTGTCACGGTGGTGACATCGAAATGGATGTGCCGATAACATCAGACTTGCGAATCCCACGTTCGCATGAGTCAACTGATCCCGTGCGCACGGTGGAGAGACAGCGATAAGGGAAGCGACACATGTATGGGGGTTAGATAAGGACACGCGATAAGAGAGGCTGGATGAACCCGAAATCTGGGGGCCATCGACGGTGAAAATGTTGAGAGGAAGTTACACGGGTGGACCCATGAAACACTCAATTCGTGACCTCGTCCACGTGCGAACTCGCTCGCTCGTGAACTCGTTCGAAAGTGAACTCCACGGCACAACATACTCATCTACATTATTTTGGAGAACAAAAAAAATAACAGCGACAGTTAAAAAAAAAATCGCAGTTGCAAATTAGACGATTGCAAATGCACGGTTATTAAATCGTAGTTGCGAAACACAGTTGCAAGCTCGATGAAAAATAAAATAAAAACATACAATAGGCGACGTTTCGGGCAATGGCCCTTCCTTCATAAAGCTCATCTATGAAGTGTGTACTATGCAGAAGGGTGACTGCCCGAAACGTCGCCTATTATATACAGCGCTAGATATAATGCCTCATTTGCAGTCCCTCGATATTCGCACAGCACTGCGCCCTGTCTCGACACATCTCACGAGCTAAGCTGAGTTGAGCCTGGACAGTGCTCGGATGGGTGGCGGCAATGTATTCCAGGGTGCCGCTGACTATGAAGGCCGGAACTGGACACGGGTGGCCAACACCACGCCTGGCCGCCTTTGACTCCCCGGTGGTGATGTTCACACACCGCCGCAGGCTCTCAGGTGAGGCCACGGGCACTCAGGTGAGGCCACGGGCTCTCAGGTGAGGCCCCAGGCACTCAGGTGAGGCCACGGGCACTCAGGTGAGGCCACGGGCACTCAGGTGAGGCCACGGGCACTCAGGTGAGGCCACAGGCTCTCAGGTGAGGCCACGGGCACTCAGGTGAGATCGAGTCGACTTTGAGAGAGGCCCGGGACAAGTTATAAACCACGCGCGCGGGAGTCGAACTCGGGTCGCCGGGTTCATAGTGAAGTGCGCTAACCGCTGCGCCACCCCTCCACAAGACAAACATCCCCCGTGTAGCCTTAACAGACTGTTAGGGCAAGTGCTGTTAGCGAGCACCTATGAAGGCCGGGACGGAACACGAGGGGGTGGGCGGCCAGCAACCACGCCCGGCCGCCTCTGTCTCCCTAGTGGCGATGTCTACACATCGCACCAGGTACTCATTTGAGGCTGAGTCGACCTAGGGGAGGCCCACGACCCGTTCAGATAATCGTCACCGGCGTTGGCCGTGAGCGGGGATCGAACCCGGGTCGCCAGGTTGTTAGCGCAGCGACGCCACCGCTCCCCCTACCACAACCACCACCACCACCACTCCCCCGACCACCACCACCACTCCCCCCAACCACCACCACCACCACTCCCCCAACCACCACCACCACCACTCCCCAACCACCACCACCACCACTCCCCCAACCACCACCACCACCACTCCCCAACCACCACCACTCCCCCAACCACCACCACCACCACTCCCCAACCACCACCACTCCCCCAACCACCACCACCACTCCCCCAACCACCACCACCACCACTCCCCAACCACCACCACCACCACTCCCCAACCACCACCACCACCACTCCCCCAACCACCACCACCACCACTCCCCAACCACCACCACTCCCCCTACCACCACCACCACTCCCCGACCACCACCATTCCCCCGACCACCACCACCACCACTCCCCCGACCACCACCACTCCCCCGACCACCACCACTCCCCCGACCACCACCACTCCCCCGACCACCACCACTCCCCCGACCACCACCACCACCACTCCCCGACCACCACCACTCCCCCGACCACCACCACCACTCCCCCAACCACCACCACTCCCCCAACCACCACCACCACTCCCCGACCCCACCACTCCCCCGACCACCACCACCACCACTCCCCCGACCACCACCACTCCCCCGACCACCACCACTCCCCCGACCACCACCACCACCACTCCCCGACCACCACCACTCCCCAAATCACCACCACCACTCCCCCGACCACCACCATCACCACCACACACAGACACCGGCTCACCTGCTCGACTGCGCCGTGAAGCTGCCCCCGTCGGAGAGACGGAGCTTGCAGAAGAGGACTCCGTTCACGAAGGGCACGCACGTCAACTCGTCCAAGTCGAATGTCACCTGGAACCTGAACTTCCTCTTCTTCATGATTGAGGATGGTGACTGGTGCTGTCCTCTTCAGAGATGGCTCTCCCACTCTTGGATGGAGCCTCTCTCGGAAGCGCGTGTGACGTGCCCTGTGTGTGTGACGTCCCCCTGTGTGTGTTGTGATAGGTGCTCGTGAACAGCACTTTGCCCCGACAGCACTACGTAGGCTACCCGGGTTCGCTTTTCCTGTTAGGTGTGCTGTGTGTACCTATGCGATGATGATGATCATGATGATGCGCTGTGTGTGCATGCGTGTCAACTGAGAGCCTGATTTAAATCTCTGGCCCAGGTTCTATGCACAGCACACAATCTATATAAATAAAAAGAAACGGGTTTTCCCGTCAGTATAAATACCCCCCCCCCCCCCCAGTTAAAACAAATACACTCACACCGTCAACTCAAACCACTGCACTACCTCCCTAAGCACACACACGCACATTCGTCCTGCTACGACAAAGTCGCTCTTAGTCGTTACTGCCGAGTTAGCAGCTTTCGTGCTCTCGTAGCAAAATCCTCGCCGAGGTCGGTGACCGTGGCCAGGATGATGATGATGACGAGGCAGACGGATCGCCGGTCGCGGGACCACGCGTGCCAGGAGTTCGGAAGTTGACAAATCAAAGTTTCGAAAGATCCAGATCGACAGCCGCCCCCCCCCACCACCTCCACTTCACGTGCCCCCCACCACCCCCGGTTTATTCAGCGCACACACAAACGATAAAGGTCCCCCGGATAGCCTTGACAGACTTTCGTGGCAAGTGCTGTTAGCGAGCACCTGTACAACAAAACAAACCAGCACGGAACACGAAGGGTTGCGGTGGCCAGCACCACGTCCGGGGCAGTCTTCGTCTCCGCAGTGGCGATGTTTACACACCGCGCCGGGTACTCATTTGAGGGCTGAGTTGACCTAGGAGAGTCCCGGCACCGCTTCAGATAAATCGTCACTGTGGCCGTGAGCGAGCGGGAGTCGAACTCGGGTCGTCTGTGTTCGCCGCGCTAACTTCCTACACGTTCGGTCTCCCCACCGCACACACAATCACACCTCCACACACACGGACGCAACTTCTCACTGCGACAGACTGGGAGTCACAATAACTCCTCCTCCTCCATCCTCCTCCTCCTCCAGGCCACGCACTTCTCTTATTGGGCAGAGCAAACGCAGCAGCCTCCCTGCCGCCTCCCCCCCGTACCTGGTGCACAAGCACGCAACAACCGCTTGGCACGCTCCGCCGGTGTCTCTAACGAACACTCCGCCTGTCTCTGTGTGTGTGTCTGTGTGTGTGTGTGTCTGTGTGTGTCTCTGTGTGTGTGTGTCTCTGTGTGTGTCTCTGTGTCTGTGTGTGTGAGTGTCTGTGTGTGTCTGTGTGTGTGTCTGTGTGTGTGTGTGTCTCTGTGTGTGTGTCTGTGTGTGTGTCTGTGTGTCTCTGTGTGTGTCGCTGTCTGTGTGTGTCTCTGTGTGTGAGTGTCTGTGTGTGTGTGTCTCTGTGTGCGTCTCTGTGTGTGTGTCTCTGTGCGTGTGTGTCTCTGTGCGTGTGTGTCTCTGTGTGTGTCTCTGTGTGTGAGTGTCTGTGTGTGTGTCTCTGTGTGTGTCTCTGTGTGTGTGTCTCTGTGTGTGTCTCTGTGTGTGTGTGTGTGTCTTTGTGTGTGTCTGTATGTGTGTGTCTGTGTGTGTGCGCGTTGCGCTACGAACCTGGCGACCCGGGTTCGACTCCCGTTCACGGCCAAACACCCAGTGACGATTATTTGAAGCGGTCCTTGGGCTTCCGCTAGGTCGACTCGGCCTCAAATGAGTACCTGGGGCCATGTGTAAACATCGCCACTGGGGAGACAAAGGCGGCCGGGCGTGGTGTTGGCCACCCACCTCCTCGTGTGCCCTGCCGGCCTTCATAGGTGCTCGCTAACAGCACTTGCCCCAACAGTCTGTTAAAGCACTACGGGGGATCTTTGTTTTGTTTTTGTTTGTATGGCCTTACACTGATTTGTTTATATATAATTGGCGACGTTTCGGGCAATGGCCCTTCTTCACAGTACATTGGCCAGCGGAGAGGCAGAGTGGTTGATAATGGGACCGCACTTCTTAGTAGTGTGCTTTTTATTCTCGTGAGCATAACTGCAGTGAGTGTAAACTAAACTGTTAGAAGTAGTCTCCTGCGGGGAGTGTACTCTGTATTCTAGTCAGTGCTATGCTGTAGTAAGTGTACTCGATGAAGCAATACGTACTGTAGCGAGTGTAGTCTACATCGCAGTGAGCGTGAATGGAGTCCATGGTCAATCCACTGCTGCATGAAGGCTTCCCAAGGCAATCACGCCACTTCTCACGAGCCTGCGATGTTACCAGCTAATTCCATCATTATCATCGCTCCATCTCCTCTTCCAAGCCGCAGTGACCGGCGCGGTGAAGTATGGTCGTCAAAGGGATGCACGTTTCGGACGACGACATTATTGTGACAGAGAAGCACGGACGGACTACATTCACCACCATTCGAATTGTGCAGTGAAGCCAGTTGTGGGGGTCTCGACTTAGAGGGGCGATTATTGATGGGGCGGTCGAGGCCAAGGACGGAACGGCAGCCAAATGCACGAATTGGAACGCGCCCGAGAGAGGAGGGAAGAGGAGGAGTACGTCCGCCGAGGAGACGGAGCTGTGCGCACCGCGTGCGTGCTGCTTGCTGTCGTGGATGGCGAACCCCGCGGTGGCTGATGTGTCCGCAACGCACGCGGTCACGGCGTGTTTTATAGGTGAGGTCACTTTCTCGCGAGGGCTCGACCCGTTATCTGTCTGGGCTTGCAGCTCGGCATAATGACGACCATGAGTGTGGGGGATAACGACCGCCGTGAGTGGTGGTGATGATGATCACCAGGCCGGCACGCGACTGTAATCAAGAGATGGCTTGGCACCGTGCCGGTAACGTCGGCCAACTCACAATCCCCCCCATGGAACCTCAGCAGCGTGTCATCTCACTCTACCCAGCGTGTCGTCTCACTCTACCCCAGCGTGTCGTCTCACTCTCTACCCCAGCGTGTCATCCATTCACGCACACACACAAAGACAAAGATCCCCGTATCGCCGTCAACAGACGATTGTGGCAAGTGCTGTCAGCGAGTAGCAGCAGCTTTGAAAGCCGGCACGGGACACGAGGGAGAGGGTGGCCAGCACCACTCCCGGCCGCCTTCGTCTCCCCGACGTTTTACACATCGCGTCAAGTACTCATTTTGGGCTGAGTCAACTTAAAAGGAGGCCCCGGAAGGGTGGAAATATTCGCCACCGCTGTTTATAGATCGTGTATTTTTTTATGCTGAGTCGACATAGGGGATACCCAAAACCGGCTCCTTGTTGGTGGTCTTGTTGGCCATAGCCACGAATCTAACCCTGGTCGCCGAGTTTGCAGCGCAGTGTGCCAACCACTGCGCCACCGCTCCACACAACTACACAGATGCCCCGTGTAGCCTTGACACACTTTTGGGACAAGTGCTGTCAAGCGAGTCATCATGCCGGCACGAGGGGGTGGATTGTTGGCCAGCACCACGCCCCGACCGCCTACACGGGCACACATTCGCCTGGGGAGTAATTAAGTCGATGTGACACACGCATTGGTGTGTTTTTCCAAACGGGTAATTCCACCTCAATGAGATCATTCAATCTTGAATTGAAGCTTTCGTGACTGCAGGAATCCATACTCTTTGGTTCTTTCGGTAAAGTCACGTAGGTAGAAAAATAATATATCACGACGTTTCGATCGCAACACAAGCAATCGTCATCAGGTGTGGTACAAGCACAGCAAGAAAAAAAAGTTCAACCGTCCAATGCTGTACTGCCTTGTGCACAAAAGTCGCAACCGGGTACCCGGTACCCGTACGATACCCGGCTACCCGTACCCGGCCGGGTACGGGTACAGGTAGCAAATTGCGACCTTGGTGCGGCCGGGTACGGGTACGAGTAGGCCGTGAGTCACTGGTGAGTAACCGTTTGTCACTCATTTCGGGTAGGGTACGGGTAGGGAACGGGTACCTGTACTTGGCCGGGTACGGGTACGGGTACCCATTTGCGACCCTGGTGCGGCCGGGTACGGGTAAGGAATCAAAACCCGTTTGCGACCTCTGCTTGTGCACCGACCGCCTCGCTCGACTAGCTGTAACGCCAGTCATGCAACAGGGTTACATTGGCGGCATCGTTCTATACCCCGTTTCTATGCTGATGTTGATCTTTCCTGTAACCGAGACCACTTGAGTTCTCACCTGGGTAATACACAAAATACACGCGATGCCATAGATTTGAAGCTTTCGGGACTGCAAGGATTCATATTCTTATGTTTTTTCGGTAAAGCCACGTAGGTAAAACATTTAAATTAAAATTAATAAAAAGTAAAATAAAATACAAATAAAATAAAAATCACGACATTTCGGAGACAACACAAGCTTCCGTCTTCAGGTGGAACCTTCACAGCACGATTGCTGTATTTTTATTTTATTTTACTTTACCGAAAAAACCTAAGAACACGCGGTGCCACTTATGTGGGCTGGTGCGTTCAGCACCACGCCGGACCGCCTTTGTCTCCCCGGTGATTGGTTCTTTTTAAACACGCTGGGGGGAGGACCAGGACTACGGTCCCGATGTCACTCTCGGACTAACGCTAGCCTTGGTCGGGACTCGAACTCGGGTGACCGGATTCCTAATCGCAGTGCGCTAGTCTATGGGTCTCTATGCGAGTCTGTGGGTCTGAACGAGTCTATGGGTCTCTGTGCGAGTCTATGGGTTTGTACGCGAGTCTATGGGTCTCTGTGCGAGTCTATGGGTCTCTATGCGAGTCTGTGGGTCTGAACGAGAGTCTATGGGTCTCTGTGCGAGTCTATGGGTCTCTATGCGAGTCTATGGGTTTCTGTGTGCAAGTCTATGGGTTTCTGCGCGCGCCTATGGGTTTCTGTGCGCGCCTATGGGTTTCTGTGCGAGTCTATGGGTCTATGTGCGGGTCTATGGCTCTGTGTGAGTCTATGTGTCTCTATGCGAGTCTGTGGCTCTCTGTGTGTGGCTATGAGTCGCTGTGCGAGTCCATGGGTATCTATTTGGGTCTCAGTGCAAGTCTGTGGGTCTGTGCGAGTTTGTGACTCTCTGTGCGAGTCTGTGGCTCTCGGTGTGAGTCTATGGGTCTCTATGCGAGTCTGTGGCTCTCTGTGCGAGTCCGTGGCTCTTTGTGCGAGTCCTTGGCTCTTTGTGCGAATCTGTGGCTCTCTATGGCTCTATGTGCGAGTCT